TGCTTTGGAAGCTAACAAAGGCAGAGGGTTGGTCGCGGGGGGTGCGGGATGAAGTTATTCCTCCGTTTGGGAGGAGAGGAGGGAGAAACGCAGCAGCCCAGAAAATGCGAGTTACTGCGGGTGCGAGGAAAGCCGGGAGGAAATGAGAGGAACAGGGATGCGGGAGCGAGACTGGCTTTGTGGAGGAATTCAGGGGGAATAATTAATTAATAGTGGTCCTAACTGGAGATGGAAAGGAAGGCAGATGTGAGTGTTTTATAGAAGGGAGAGGCCGGGCTTGGGACACTTGACTTTGGAAGTCATAGAGGAAGTTGTTGGACCCAAGTTTAGGACGCACGACGGTTCGTTTAGGGTAAAACGACCTACAGAGCTGACCTTCAGAATCCTTTATTTAGCTAAAAGTGCCTGTCCTGCGGTTCGGGCACAGGTGTGCAAATATCAGCGTTCACCTTCCTACCTATAGATGGTGATCTGCTGCTGGCATAGCTTTATAAAGTAACTTTTTTTTTTTTTCCCCTTGGTGGTGGTGTTGGGTCATGCCTTCCTGTGAAGAAACGCAGATGTGGTTTGAGCAGAATAACCTCAACCTGTCTCAGATGTTGCTTGTCTGTTACTAAACCAGCAAGCACTGCTCCTGTTGGGTTGTTTTTTTTTTTGTTTCTTTTTTTTTTTTATTTGGCAGTGGCAAGTATGTTAAACCCGCTCAAACTGGATGATGCCTCTTGTGCAAGGAGAGTCTTTGGCAGCTGCACCAGCCTCTTCCAGTCTTCTGTAGTGTGTCTGTTGCTGACCGTGGAGGGAAGGGTGCTCCTGCTGCAGATTTGGCAGAAGCACAGCCTTTGGATTTACTGCTGTCTCTCGCCATCAAGACTGGAGCAGTTTCTTCTTCAATTTTTTTTCTCACTCAGACCAAAATATTTTTGATTCTCTGGGTCACAGTTTGCATATTCTGTAGTTAGAGGGTTTTTTTTTTTGCATAGGGCAACATCGTCACCTTCCTGTTTCTTGATTTCTGAGTTTGATGCGTGTGGCCTTTAATTTGACAAATCTAGCAACGTTTCTTATTGTCACTGGAACAAGCAAGCTTGGTGGGAGATCAGTCCTCCTGCCTTTTTGGGGTAGAAGGATGAAGAAGATCTCTTGAACCTGGTAGATTTCCCCTGGCGTACCCTCTAGGGAGAGGCAGCTGATGGATAGTGTGCTTGTGCTTGGGAAGGGAGAGGTAGAATTTCAAGCCCCTTTTTGCATATTGGGGATACTGAGGTAAGATTCAGATCAGGGATCTGAATTAATTCATCATTAATGCCAGATATTTGCATTCCTGGGCAGGCAGTACACATTCGATTTTTTGATAATGTTCCGGCTCCTGACTGTGTTCCTGTGGAATTAGCTAGAACACATGGAACAGAGTTTATGATGGGCTCAGTGCTTTTATAATGGCTGCAGGAGAATAGACAATACCTGCTCCAGCATAAGACCTGCCAGTACATAGGTAACTTTTATTAACTGTTAAATCGGTTTGGAATGTGTTTAAACCAACGGAGAAGCCTTTACCAGATCTGGTAATTTTGCATAATTTGGCCGTGGTGTTAATGGAGAAAATCAGTGGCATTAACTTCATACTGGAACATTTGCTCACTTTTTAAAACCATATGCTTGTTCACAATATTTTTTTTCTAATGAGTTATTAATCTAGGAGTTTTTATAGGCATTTATAGACCATGTGGAGGTTTTTCTTGTTCAGGGGTGAATATTAGTTTTTGAGCTACTTAATGTACGTGGTTGGCGTGAGTATTTTGACCACCACCGCAGTCTTTTCTACTGGTGTCTTGTAGAATCTTCTCTCGCCACTTAAAAGTAAAACGTGCTACATATTTGCATAACAAATTGTGTGGAGCTTATTAAGGTTAGGAATTATCCAGAACTGAAAGCCCTTCCTGATGGCAGTGTACTTCCAGATGCGGGATAGTAACGGGATGCTTCTGGGTGGGAGCAAACAGCGACTGGCAGTAGTGCCATTAGACACCTGAGGAACAAAGACATGGACAGCAATGTTTGTGGTGTTTTTGCAAACAGGGACTGGCAGTAGTGCCATTAAACACCTGAGGAACAGACATGGACAGCAATGTTTGTGGTGTTTTTCCAGGTACCTTCTGGCTGAGACCAGCTATGGAGAAGTGGAGCTTAATGACAATTACTGTTTTACTGGCACTCACTGTACGCTGGGCTGTGTCGCTTGGTTCTTACTCAGGTAATGTATGTTCACGGGCTGTAAAGTAACCACATGAAGGTGGATTATGGAGCTTGTGAGAAATTAAAATATAAAATCATAAACAGGAAGCAATGTGTTATTTCAAGCGTTGTCATATTTTAGTGCCTCCTTGTTTCCCTAAGGTTCCTATAATACCTTGTTCTTATTTTTCTGAAGTGTGCAATGATTAAAATCACAGCCACTTGGAACAAAATGCTGAAGAAAGACTGTAACTTTATTTTTTTTGAGGCATTGACGGTCAGTAGTGTTTTAGGAGGAGCCAAAGAACAGCTGGTTGTTCACCCTCATGCCTTTGTTATTTCAGCAGCTGCAGAATATTACCGCAATCCAATTGTACACGTGTTTAATCTTGTCCTTTAAGTTTAATAACAGGTATAGCCTTAATTTATATTTAGATAAAACTGTACTGGTGATAATGAAGACGGTGTAAAGGTGACGTGGAGTGAGTGATTACACTCTGCCTTGTAGCTGTACTTCCTTAAGATTGTTTACAGCATGAACCAGAGCGATATTCTTCTAATAGATGAGCTTTTCTCCTCCCCATCTCATAATACTTGCAAAGAACTAGCAAGCTTTTTTCCAAATTTCTCGGTGCCATTCCTACACTTGGCATAAGCTTGCACAAAGCTTGCTTTCTGCAGGTTTTTGTTTTAAAAAATGAATCATTATTTTCAATCCCCATCAGCTAAAAGAATGACAAGCTCAGTCAAATTCAATGCTGGCTTTCTGTTAAGGCAATTGGGAGCCTCGTCCCCTGAGTCGGAGCTGTTCAGTATGATTCTGGTGATTTTTAAACTGGTAACTCCTGGGTTTCATTTACTTGAAGGAATTTGCTTGAAGATAAGTCGCATGCATGCCTTTTTACACAGTTGTTTTATTTTGAATTTGCTTTGTGAAAATGCCATCGTAAGAGATCTGTTCTGTGGGTAACTGGGGCTCTTTTCTATCCATCTATAGGCAGAAAAACAAACACCCTGTCTTTTGCCATGCAATACTGAATTTCTGTTGTACTGCAAGTATTTACAATTACATTAACTATTTTTTTAAGTTGATTTAATTTCAAACCAATCAAGATTCTGACAGAGTCTTAAAACGACGCCTGAACTAAAATAACAATATTTTGATCTTGTTTCATACAGAATGATCATGTACCTTCTTTTGCAATAGGAAAAGCTGATTCTGATCCAGTCCATCAAATTATTAAAGCATGTGCTTAACTTTGAGCACTGGCTGGCTGAAAAAAAGACGACAAACCTGAATGTTAGAAAGAGCTGTCAAATGCACAAGTACACGGGACCTGAGTTTTCTTCTTTGGTTTCCTTCAGATGCAATAAACCTTTAATGACAAGAGCAAGAAAAAAAAATGGGCAGGGTAATATTTAAACTGATGTGGTCCTCTTTTCTTCCTTTCGCTGCTGTTCAGTGCAATAAAACTGAGCAAAGGATTAGAAGTAGTTGGTCTCTGAAGCAGACTCTTGTAGAAATGCTGACTTGGCATACTTGGAAGCCACGTGTGGCATGGATGGCCACAGCAAGGAGGGTAATTCTGCCCTCGTTTGCTGTGCAGTGTGGTTTTGCTGTGCCGTTTCCATTCTTTTGCTTGCCATCTAGCATGCTTTTGGATCTGCCTCTGGAATTAGGGTCATGATGGTGAAAAAGCAGATAACTAATACCTGGTTTTGAAAGGTTACTGTTTATGATGTCTGTAGATTAGTTGGTCTTGGAGAATTATTGAGGAAAAATCTGGTTGCATAGATTAATGCATTTTTTTTTTAATGTGTTGCCAAACTCCTACTAAATGAGTAGAAGCTAAATACCTGTGTTGAAAGGCAGCTTCAGACCCTTAAAAATGTCTGTTTCAGGTAACACTAAAACTGAATAAGACCACTGTAATACTTAAAGTATTTGTGACCCTTTTGAAATAAAACACTCCATTTTATTAATTCTGAGTTCTGTTTGGCTGTGTACTTGATGCTTGCTGTAGACAGAAGCTAAATATGTATTCTCAAACTAGCTGATGTGTGATCAGTCTCTGTGTTTGGCTTCTAGTAATCGAACCTTTGGGTTAAGATCTCTCTTGATCTTTCTGAAGCCAATTAATTTCTTCCTTTTTTTTTTTTTTTGAGAGAGGGAGAAGCTGAAATAAAATGTGTATGTTTCTATTATGTGTATATGTATGTATATACACACAAACACACTTTAAAATTTGATAACACCTATTTTTATATTTTGTTAATCCTATGACAGGTACTTTTTCAAAAAATTTATAGCTACAGAATGGACATTGATAAAACTCCTCCTCTTAAACTGACCTCACTTATTTGGGAAACTTCTACTTGAATGTGTCATGTAGTGGAGATAATCTGCTCTACTACCTAGGAATAAATTAGTGGAGATAATCTGTTCTTGACACTACCCAGGAGTAAATAGTACATATCTGAGCTTGTGTGACTCCTACAAACATAGATCATGTGAAAAAAATATAGATGGCTTTCCTATATTTTAAAGAAACTCTTAAATCTCTGTCTGCTTAGTGTCAATATTTTACTGGAAGTGCTATCAGTTTCTGTTCTCAACAAGCACAGGCTAATAGAAGTAAATAAACTCTGTGATAAAGATGCTTAACATATTGCCATTATCAGAGTTAACGTTGAGGGAGTTGTTTATGAGTAGATGTCCGAAATATTCGCATTGATAAAGCTTTTTTTCCTCTGGAAAAAAAAAAAATTTCCAAGAGGCTTAGGTATGCATGTGTGAAAAGTGTCCTTTAACGTAACTCACTTTGCAGAACTGCTGCGTAACAATCGCTCATTTTTCAATTCCTGTAAACCAAAACGAAGCAGTTATTGTGTAGAAAGCTCTGTGGATTATGAGAAAAAATTCTCTTAAACCTGTTCTGTTTGGCTTGATTTTGCAAATGGCTCTTCTTATTTATTAAGAATCATGGGGAAAGGGACGGATGCAGTATTCTTGCTAGTGTTGCAAAGCAGGCACAAGAGGAAAAGGAGAGGAACTGGGGCACTTGCAGCAGGTCCTGGTTCCAAGTAAACTTGAAAATAAGGCTTTTTTTTAAATACTTTTACATAGCAAGGTACGACAACACAGCTGAAACACAGGTGAGAACATTGCCAATTATTATATACTGAGAAAGGCAAGTAGTTCACGCACAGTCAGTACGAGATGTCCATAATGTACGTTTTCTTATTTCAGAGAAAGTGCCACATTTTTCATCTACGCTTGGAAATGATTTTTTTTTTTTGTCAGATGAGGAAGCAGTTCTTCACAGTGAAATATCTTGATAAATGCTTATTTCGGAAATATCCAGAAAGCCAAAAGAACGCACAACTTCTTTTTTCCCCTCTCTGTTAGACGGCACAGCAGATGAGCTCTCTATTTTGTTCTCAAATGTCAGAGAGGAATGGAGAATAAAATTAGTAATATATTAATATGCAAATATATATGGAGGAAAAGCAATCTCCATAACCCGAATAAATTCCTAAATGCTCTGTCATCTCTTTGTAGGTGCAGGAAAGCCACCGATGTATGGAGACTATGAAGCTCAGAGACACTGGCAGGAAGTTACTTACAATTTACCCATCCGGCAGTGGTACGTAGTGCTGTTGTAGTCCAGGTTACAAAGGGGTAAATGTAATTGTAACGAAACTGTTTTGTGTCTTACTTAAGATCTCTGCAGTATCTTCTATTGTTCCCTGAATTATTCTAAAAACCTTTTTGTAGTAATACAGTATCACTCTGTTCTTAGGCTGAGGTGCTGTTTTCTTTACAAAAAAAGAAAAAAGCTAACGTTTGGAACTTTGACGTGGTAACTGTGAGCTTGTGTAACAAAATGTTCTGGCTGGTAGGTGTCTCTGTTGTGAAGCTCCAGCTTTGTTTTGAATTGGCTGGAAAGGTCAAGAAACAATTTTTCAGTAGGCTTATATGAGAAATGATAGAGAAACTTGTTCAGGTGGTTTAGAAAAAAAGTAAAACATCAGTTCAACTTTCTGAGTTCCAGTTCTCTAACACATAAAATCTCTCCTGACTATCAGCACTGACAAAACCAGTAGGAACTCTGCTCATCTCCCCTGAGCTAAGGGGCAGGGGCGTGCCAGTAAATGCAGAGACTTGAATTCTTGTGCCGGAGGCATAGGCTGGCTTTTATACCTGAAGGTTCCTTGTTCGCACCCGTGTTCTTCATACAGATTTTAAAATGTGTGTGTCTGGAATCTAGATATTGGGATAGTGAGCTTAATTTGTACAGATCGCTTTAAACTGTAAGAAAATTATTCCAAATCTTTTAGATCTTTTTACGTTATTTCTAATACTCCTTGAAGCTTGCGTGAAACAGTAAAAATTATTTAGTCCATATCTATGCTACAACACAAATTGGAATAAATTGAACCTTCCAACAGGGATAGTTGTATCCTGTTTGTTTGAGGTCATTTTGTCCTCGGCTATCTGTTGGGGAACAGACTGATGTGGCAATAGAATATTAATTCAATTGTATTTCTGTAAATATATGAAATCACATTGTGATTTCAGATCATCTGATTCTATCTCCATTATCTGATTCTATCTCCATTATCATTTTTTTCTTTCCCAGTTTGCTGGAATATCCAAAGCCCTCATTATGCCAGAGTTGGGATAACGGAGAGCTGACATAATAATAGAGTTGGCAGCTTTGATCCACTCTGCTACACAGAACTATATGTACTTAAAATTAAGAGTTATAGCAGTCGTTATTTCTTGGCATTCCCAGGGGACAGATGAAACTGTATTGCGGGCTGGGTTCAGCCTGTGGGCTGCCAGTTGGGCATCGCAGGCTTGTTGTATTTGCTCCTGGCTTTATTTATAACAGACTTTTTTTGGATTGGGTCTGCTTGAAGAATTGAGGCTCTGGTACAGCAAAGTCATATTGGATCTTGGGCGTTTGGCAAAGAACATCGAGGCTGACGTGCAAGGGATTACATTCTGGAATACTGAGGTGTCTTTTCCCTCCTATGTCGTACAAGCACGCGGTGTGAAAAGATGTTATACTCTGGTATGGAAAAATAGTGTTCACATTGGAAGTTGAGATTCTAATCACTCCTCGTGCCGTTATTTGTTTAGTGCTTAGGAAGGCTGGCTGTGCAGCAAGCATGTGTTCCTCTGTGCCTATGTCTGGTTAAATATAGAGAGTAGCTCTCTGGTGAGGACACAGTCTTAGGAAACCTCCTGATCTTTTCACAAACTTAATTGCTGTGTTTACTGTTGAACAGGCACGTATAGGTAATGCAGCTGCATGTTCCATGCTTATTTTCTTTGATCCAAACCAAAGATTTATTTAAAAATAAAAAAAGCTGGAGTAAACTACAGTATGGTTTGTATTTAGTTTCCTTGCGTGAGATTTCTCTGAGCCAGAGGCCAGAATTTAAATGCTTCTTTTTCATATTATTCTTTAGAGCCTTGACATTATTTATTAAAGGCTATTTTAAGAACATCCTTTCTTATTATGCTGCTAATTAAAACTGTGAAGGCTTTTTTGCTAAATATTATTGATTATAGGGATTGTTTTTTCTGTTGAAACTATGAGTTTATGGGAGGTAAAGTTAAAAAAACCCCAACAAACCAAAACTGGAAAGTTTTACTACCAAGTTGCAGACTATTACAGTCTGCACGAAGAATCTGAACTGGCTTGACACGAGTAGTCTTGAATTGTAGGATAAGAATCAAAGATGCAACTCAAAGAAATGTGATTTATCATCAGTTCAGAAGATGTTTCGGGCAGCTCATAAGGAATTCAAGAAATATAATTTACTATAATAAATGTCAAAAATTGGCTGCATTTGAAGAGAGAAACTGGAAATGCTAAGAGCTTGCCCCTTGGCAATTAGTCGACTAGCCAGTTTGTTTCACTGTGGAATATAAAGGGTCTGATGCCTTAAGTCTGTAACTTCTGTTTTCCTTGGATAAAACCTTCTGTTTCTCATTCGAAAGAGGTGACTTAATTTTAACTGCTGCCAGCCTTCCGTAGAAATGTCAGCTACAAATGGGAAAATCCCTTTCCTTTCTCTGATGTGGTCGTTCTGAGGTAGAACTAGGTAAAGTGGTCATGGCTGATGAGTTGCTTACTCCAGAAGTGTTACTCTGACAACTTGGTGTTGCCTCCCGAGGAACTTCTGAGTCCCCAACTCCTACGTTCGTGCCGACGGAATCACCTAGGTGCGCCTGCTGTGCCGTAGTTTTCTTCCAGACCTGTGCTGCTTTTTCATGCTGTGTAATATCTTTCTGCCACCCTTTTCCACTTCTGTTCAGTTGCTTTCCAGCAGTATGACTTCAACTGATGCTTCTTCAGAATTTTCACGTTCAGGTCTGTTGAGTAGAAGCAGTTCACAACTTTGCTACTTTACAGCCTGAAAGAGTTTAACTGTTATAAACTAACAAAGTTTAACCATTCTGAAGTCATTGTCATGTATTAAACATGCTGTCCAAGGCCAGGAAAAAGGAATCTAGGATTAATATAAAGAAGATAATTTCTTTGGGAATTCCCTTTGAACTGCACTGTTTTAATTTTCTTTTTTGGCAAATTGTCTGCTGTCTTCTGGAATAATTGCCATGCATGAAGAGTGTAGGTTGGGTTTGCAGGTGGAGGTGAATCTGCAAAGCCTACCACATCAACAAACCGAGCGCTACAGCAGATGTGTACAGCTGGTTTTGTGCAGACTTTGTCTTAGTGTCTGGACTTTTGTCAAACTCTGTTCACATTCAGGATTTTCCCTCTCCAGGTAAACAAGCTCTAGCAGCTTTTTAAAAGATTTTGTTTTGCAAACATGAGTGTACTCTGAATGGCTTTTGTTTTGTTGCTTGAATATTTTTTTTTGTGTGAAGTAAAATAAAGCAAATATAGAAGTTGCTAACTTCCTTTTGGATTTCGAATACATTGATAAAATATTTAGTTTAATATTCAGTGTTTTCCTTGGGCTGAAACAAAGCTGGAAATGTAGATCCTTTATTTTTTTTTTCCAGGTACTTCAATACAAGTGATAACAACCTACTGTACTGGGGCCTTGATTATCCACCTCTCACTGCCTATCACAGTTTCCTGTGTGCTTTCATGTAAGTTCATTATTTAAATACTTAATTCTGTGGAGAACACAAAATACCAAGTTCACCTCTTCCCCCCTGCCCCTTTTTATTTATTTTTTTTTTCCTTTCTTTCCTGAGGAGAGAAACTTTTAGCTAAAACTACCAGTCTGGGCAGCTGATGAAACAGAAAATATTGTTTGCTACTTTAAAGCTAGGGAAGTAGATTTTCTGTGTATCTCTATTGCTTAAAACTAATACTGCTATTTTTTTGTCTTGTAATTATTGCAAGGGGGACTCAAGGGTTATGTTCTTCTCTTTGCCTTCAATGTTAGCAAATTTAGACGTGATTTAGATATTTAGCTTTCCATATAAGCCACTGCTGGATCAGTGATGCACAGGGAAAAGTGCTGCAGGAATTGGGTGCATCGCATGGGAAACCTCTCTTGTATTGAGAGCTCAAGTGACATCTGATGACTGGATATCATGTAAATAGAATTCTGTTATTGGAATACTTTTTCCACAAGGGCTTTACTGCTGTTGGAATGAGACTTATGGAATAAGAATGTAGGTTAAAGTGCACACGCACAGTTATGTGGGGCATCTATGTGAACTGTAAATGGTTTATATTTAATACTTGAGTATGAAAGGTATTTACAATTGTTTTTTTAAAAGTCAGTGCTCTAGACTGAAGGTGGTTATCTTGTCCTAATAAATACTGTATTCCATTTTTACTGTTTTCTAAGATTATTATTTTTTTAATTGTTAAATAGCAGCTAAAGTCTGCAGTGTAAACTGATCTAGTGGTGAGGAAAATCTTTCATTGATTACTATTGCTCTTTGAAATATTTCTTCTCATTCATCTTAATTCTTGGAATATGCTCCTGTGGATGTCATCTTTATTGCTGAAAGGAGTGTAAAGGGAAATGAGAACTGTCTACATTTTGATGTGTCTGTACTTTGTTTTACAGTGCAAAGTTAATAAATCCTGATTGGATTGCTCTGCACACATCTCGGGGGTACGAGAGTCAGCCACATAAGTTATTTATGCGTACAACAGGTAGGAAAATTATATTTCCTTAGGATGATCGTGCAGATTTGTCTCGCTTACTAATTTAGCATGTTTAATATCATGCAGCTTCTCTGTCTTCACCGGTTTATTCTCAGTTCTTTGACTTGGGTGGCTTTGCAGGTCCATTTATGAACCAAAGTCCCGTGTTCTTTTCTCTTCTGCTATCATTTTTGAAGCTGATAATATATAAATTATAAAATACACAAACAAGTTTTCAACCAAATTGTTTCAGTAAAATCTCTAAAACAAAGCTACTTTTTTTTTGTACCATAGACTCATTTTTAAATTTTGAAAATAGAATTGTTGTTTTCCTTTCCGTTCTGATAAATATACTTTTCATTTTCAGCTTATCTTTATTTTTATTGTAAAATTATTTTGCATGTAGACTGGCATTCACTGACTTAACAGCCTCTTGAGGTCTCAGAGATCCTTATTATGAGCCATTATACTTTATCTGAAAGGGAGAGATACTTGATATTTTAAAGATGTCACTTTTCTTTCAAAAGGTCACCACTTTCTAGAGATAAACTTCTGTTAATGAAAAAGTAAAAATGTATTTTACTACTTTTATCCTAAATATAAGTTTCATGTAGACGCTCT